TTTGTTGATGATAATTAGAATTTCAACTGATATATATATATATATATATATATATATATATATATATATATATATATATATATATATATATATATATATATATATATATAAACTTCCATATTTAGAAACTCTGTTAATGATTACAACAGTTTCATCATATGAATCATATATATGGTGGCTATCTCAGGATACATACATATGTTTGTGAGGGACGTATACCTGCCTCTGTGTGTCTCTGTGTACGAGAAAGAGTACTTCTGCCTTCAGTGTGTGCGTGTGTGTGGGAAAGAGGGAGGAATGGATACGTCTGTCTCAGGGCACATATGTTTGTTCTGGATGTATACGTGTGCATGCATGAGAGAGAAAGAGATAGAGAGGGATGTATACGTCTGTCTAAGAAATGTGTGAGGGATGTATACATCTCTCTCTGTGTGTGTATGCGAGAGTGAGAGAGAGAGAGAGAGAGAGAGTGATGCATACGTCTGTCTCAGGGTGCGGTGCATTTAAGGCTAGTTGGCTAGCCACCAACCCATGTAACTTTATTTTGCGTCTCTCTTTCTCTTCTTTAAAGTACCACTACGCCATGGCTCAGCCCAAAGTACAGTACTTGGATTTTTTTTTCTCTCTCATCTCACGTCGCTGTTCACAACTTGTTGGCATCAATTTGCGATTCCTTTTCATGATATGAATGAAGTAAAGCATCATATATACTTATGTTATTTACCTTGCTCGATTACTTAAATGACAAAGATGCTGTACACAAACATATGGATCCAACAGCTTCATTTTTCCCGATAAAAAGGTTCAAAAGTTTCATGGAGGAGCAGTCCTGTGCCCTACCACCTTGCCCTCCGTGTCTTCATCACATGCACCATTACTCAATGCCCACAAGCTACTAGCTTCAAGGATGCTGTTGTAGGTGTAGCTCTCTCTCTCTCTCTCTCTCTCTCTCTCTCTCTCTCGGTCTTGAGAAGTTTTTGGCAGCCATCCTTTCGGTCTCCGAAACGTCACTTCCATGCTCTATCTTTTGATTCTATTGATTTAAATGAGGCTCGACGAATGCTGAGGAGAGAGAGAGAGAGAGAGAGAGAAAGCTGCGATGATGCTTTCATCTCTCACATTGTTCTTCCAGCAGTCATCTCTCTCTCTCTCTCTCTACCTATCTTTCTGCACCGAAATCTGAAACGTCACTTCACGGTAAAAAACGTTTACTATACTTGGACTACGTACGTTCAAAGGCCTGAGTGCAGCACCACATTTCGTTCTCCTCCGATTCTATTCATTTTAATGAACTTGACGAAGGGAAAGAGAGCTGTCTGATCTGATCTGATCATTTCATCTCGTGCTGTTCTTTCTCAGTTTCTTTCTCTTCCAATTATTCTCTCTGCAACAAAGTTTGAAACATATATATTCACAAGATCTAAGATCAAATCAACCGATTGAATCCAAAAAAATAGAATCTGAACCCTCAATTAATTCAGCTTACTACTTAGATTTAACAAGTATCTCTTAATTTTCTTCAAGAAAAATTTGAGTGTCTTCAATTATGAGAATCACATAATAGGAAACTAAAACTATATTCGTTTTCTCTTGTGTTGTCTTCCATCCTCCTACACTATCAATTCCAATGTCTGAAACATCACCTCATGTCAACAGAGTATTTCATACTCACAATTCAAGCTCATCTGATTACTTCTCATATCTTACAACTTGTAAACTTTTAGGGTCTTTGCGGCTTCATCAAACCAATACATCGGTGATGGCAAATAACAGTTGTGCATTAAATCATCTTACGTTCATTATTCTGATCAAAGATCAGAATCTTGATGCAATCCCATTATACATAAGAAATTTAGCAAAATTCGATCCTGTTATATGATAATCAAATTAAATTTATGCAAAAAAAATAAAAAATAATCCTTCATAACATCAATAAAGAAGATAACAAAAGTTAAATATATTAACTATATTACACATTCAAATATGTTATACACCCTTCATACTACAATTTGGTGAACTTATTTCATGTCATCGAAGACATTAGACACTACAATTTGGTGAACTTGCATTGACAGTATCCATCAAGGAATTCGAAACCTACTGGACCAGTTGGGATGGACCGATATTTATCGGTCAAGGCGTAAATCGAGACATGAATTGCCCCTTCATGGGTGGTTCGGATCCAGTTCTTTTTTTCACATAAAAAGCTTGTATTCAGGGTTTGTGTCTCTTCTCCTCGGGAGCTATCTCGTCTGTCGTTAGTTGACCAATACATCTCCTCCTTTCCTTCTTCTTCCTCCTCATCCTCCCCCAACCCTTCTTCTTCAGCTCAAGTTACTGAAACGATTTCTCTAGTACTTGCCGTAGCAAAACCGTATACATTGTCCCTTCCAAATCATGCATTGTCAAAAGCCTTGTGCATTAAGCTACCTTTCTTGTAAATGTTTAGTTGTTAACACATCTAACGATTTAGAATCTCATCCATCAGAACACCTCCAACTCTTTTCCATTCTATTTATCATACCATACTGCATGCAATAGATCGAGAATCTGAATGTAGCAATGCACATATACAATTGCACCCGCACCTGCCTACGTTTTGTGTGAGGTAGTAGTAACATGATATGATCTTCCATCTCCAAATCATCCTTATTTGGAACCCAATTCTAGTTCAACAGGAACACAACGGTCGCACCGTATCAGATTGACCAAAGTCAGACAATGATAGCAAGCAATCAACTTTGAAATCCACATCTATAATGTTGCACTGATATGCACAGAAGGATCGGATTCAGAGCCATATCGACATAAAATGAGACTTCAGGGCTCCAGAAGCGTATATAGAAGAATAATAACTTTAAATAGCCGTATATGATATTTGTATGTATGTATAATTCATCATGGGAATGCTATAATCGCGATGGAAAGAGAGAGAGAAAGGTAGGGAAGGAGATAGTGAGAGTGAGGAAAGAAAACGTATTGTAATGGAACCGCTTCTACGTCGCCGCCGTCGTATAGTTTACGCGTACAGAATAGGCGTATTTTTCTACGTATCTTAGATCTTATTCTTACCCTAAGACTTAACCTAGCGGGTGAACCTTCTTACTTGACCCACTCGGTTACTGGGGTCTTCCGATGGTTGCTCTTTCTTGGGTGATCATACTTCGCACAACATTTCAAGGGTGATCTAAGTGTCTGCCAGAACAGCGTGCAGCCTTCGACCCCACTCGTATATTAAAACGTGGATCCTTCTGCCACCATTAAATCATCAGAGAATATATTTAGCCTCTAAAATAATTACCTGTCTGGGGATTACTGAAGATTATGGGGCCCATCCGTGACCCACCGTCGGAGGCCAATGAAGCACGAAGATGGGACGGGCCAACTGTAAACGGCCAGGAAAATTCTGTTGTAACTCTTCGCCGACCACCCGTCCTCGCACCCTCTAACCAATCGTGACAAGGCAACGGAAGGCCTTCCTGATAAGTCCAATCAGCACCAGGGTAACTTCGTGGTTAGTGTTCGAAGAGTATAACGGTTGAGATTCGTCGTCTCTCGGCTTGCGGTCGTGATTTTAGTACGAAAGTAATCGGACGGTGAAAACGGAACTGATGGTGTCGGGGATGAGAGAGATATCATACTTCATAAAAAAGAAAAAAAGAATTAATAAATTAATAAATGGAATAATAATTAATAAGAAATTTCCTCAATTGGACGGCCTCGTTCTGGACTCCAAGAAGAACCAATCAATGAGACGGAGAACTGCCGGTTATCGGACCGCTTCGTTGATCGTTGCGCACCTGTTCCTCCGCATCTCCCTGCCCAACGAGGCATCGCCTCCAAATCGTGCTGTAGCGATTAGCAGGTTTCTGTGCAGGAACAGGCCCATTTCCACCGGCCGAGGGATTTCTAGGGTTTTGTTGGACTTTCTCCCCATCCTTTCGTCGCCTGGTTCCGTTGTCTCGTTGCTTTTTGCCGAAGGGCGTCGCCTTGCTTTGATCCCCCTTCGTTCTCGTTCTTTGTTCTTCGATTGCGTCACGTAAAAATCGAATTTTGCACGTGTGTTCGCCCGCGAGATCCGGCTGTTATGTGTATTTCCCTTGGAGTTGCAGCTCTAGCTGGAAATTTTATTGGTCCGGAGTCTGGAATTTAGCATTGCATTTTGTGTGAGTACGTCCTGGCGTTTCTCGAGAAAATGCCGAAGAGGAGTCGCTGGGAATTTTGATTGCTGAATCGGATGGGGAATACATGTGTTGGGCCGAGCCTCTCGAAGAATGGGTTCTTCCAATCAGTGTCCGCTACCATTTGGCGTAACCGATCGAACAAGGATGATCTTCCGACCTCCAATGGCAAGGCCACCGGCGAGGGAACCGAAGCGACGCCACCTAAACCAGATACTGACGCGCCCCAACCGGTTAAGATTCAAGATGACGAGGCGAAGCCAGCCAAAGTCCCCGAAGCAGAGTCTAAGCCGGCACCTGAAAGGCCTCCAACAGACCAACCCACGAAACCCAACCATGTCAAGAGAGCCTCAAGCGTTGCAGGACTTCAGGTTGAATTTGTATTGAAGAGCAAAACCGAGAATTTGAAGGACGTTTACAGCTTAGGTCGCAAGCTGGGGCAGGGACAGTTTGGGACGACGTATCTCTGCATTGAGAAGGCAACCGGCAAGGAATATGCTTGCAAATCCATTCTGAAGAGGAAGTTGACAACTGAGGAGGATGTGGACGATGTTAGGAGAGAGATCCAGATAATGCATCATTTGTCTGGTAACCCAAACGTAATATCCATCAAGGAGGCCTACGAAGATGCTGTTGCTGTTCATGTGGTCATGGAGTTGTGTGCTGGTGGTGAGTTATTTGATAGGATCATTCAGAAGGGGCATTACACTGAAAGAAAGGCAGCAGAGCTTGCAAAGGTGATCGTGGGTGTCGTGGAAGCCTGTCATTCAATGGGAGTCATGCATCGTGACCTCAAGCCTGAGAATTTTCTTTTTGTTAACCAAATGGAGGATGCACGTCTTAAGACTATCGATTTTGGATTGTCAATTTTCTTCCAACCAGGTACTCTTCTTCTTCCATGTGCATCTATTTTGGTGTATATTCTTGCTTTTGAATTATCTCATGTCTTTTTGTGATCTCTTATAAGTTATAACCTGACTCAACATCATTGTCATTCAGTATATTGGATGTGCAACACCATGGATCTAGCTGAGAAAATAGTGTCTAAATATTCTTTAGATTAGTATATACATCTTCTTCTCTTTGCCTCCCAGTACAGTATGGGCAATTTTGTACCACTAACTTTTTTGCAATTGGCAACCATTTTTCTTCCTTGAGAAAGTCACTTAAAATTTTATAACTCAAGATTTCTCTAACTTCAACATCTATAGCCCCATATTGGTTATGGCACTTAATAGGAACCTGATTTATGAGCTGTGTTGTTTGAAACGGAGAAGTTGAATTGGAGAATAAAGTTGAATGCTGTAAATTATGACTTGGGCACAGGCCAGAGTCATCAAATAAATTATGACCTGGCTATATTGCAGATGGAGACACGAAAGGCCTTCTGCCCTGGACCACATGTCAAAGAGGTGGTATCAGCATGAACTTATTTATAACTTAGCAACAGCAATTAGTGAACTTGATAGATAGTCCTTGTCTTCTGTTCTTTTTCCTCTCATTTATCATAGAGTTCTTTGTATAATCCTCGTTTCTACGGTTAAGGATCAGAGTTGCACGTGTCTATAATCTGACATCAATCACATAGTCCAGATGCAAGATTGTGCTAGTTACAGAGAAATGAGACATAGATTACTTGGTTTCAGCATCTGTGTGGATTGTGATACACTAATATTTTGAGATGTTACTTTAGAGTTTTTAGACCATGATACACCACTAGCAAAACTGTGAAACAACAATCATGTATCTAGATTCTAACATTAAAAATGAAGTCCCGATTCCAGATGTACCAGGGTGTATTTCATCTGAATACAATCTCCAGCCACATTTCTGAACTAGTCCATTTCTTAGAAAACACTTCTATAATGACAATTCAATAGAATAGAGAAGTGGTCCAACTCCATTTTAGCCTAATGGTAGATTGTGCCTACCATCATTACGTATGAGCCTTTAGATATCTTTAACTATTCTATGAAGTGCTTCAATGTGGAATGCCTTGTAGAAAGCTAGATACAGAATCATATAGGAAAAATCTCTTTCTTTTTCTCCTCTAATCTCATGAGCTACATCTATCATTCGCTTCCTTTGTAAGCAAGACTTGAATTATCCTTTGTCTGGTCTGTTAATTGTCAGATTCTCTTTTTCAGGAGAAATATTCACTGATGTGGTTGGTAGCCCTTATTACGTTGCACCAGAAGTTCTGAAAAAACGGTATGGTCCAGAGGCAGATGTCTGGAGTGCAGGGGTAATCATTTATATTCTTCTGAGTGGTGTCCCTCCATTTTGGGCTGGTGATAATTTTATCCTTCACTTATGTTAGCTTAGAGTTTATAACAGTTCATTGGTATATATCACCATGTTTATTTGCATGTTTATACTGATATATCTAACTTTTACTGTAAAATCTATTTATCTATGACCTCAGTTAATATGTTCTGTAATTTACATCACACACAGAAACCGAGCAAGGCATATTTGAGGAGGTTTTACATGGCACACTTGACTTTCAGTCAGATCCATGGCCTAGCATATCCGAAAGTGCCAAAGATCTTGTAAGAAGAATGCTTGTTAGGGACCCCAGGAGGCGGATGACTGCCCATGAAGTTCTATGTAAGTTCTAATGCTTCAATTAGATGGTATTCACCAGAAATATCTGAAACAATTCTGAGAATGAAAATTCATGATTTGTTTTTAGAATGGTCTCTCACTTATTGCACGAAAATACCTTGGCGATAACAGTGGATAAAGAGACACTTTACTTAAGTTTTGATAGGTGTGACTTCAGTTAACCTAGGCTGACTCTGATTAAGCAATGCCACCTGATTACCTGTTTAATCTTTGTGAGTTTGGCTCTCAAATTAGCATCATCATCCAGTTCTATACAGAAGTTGGAAAGCTTGAATGGGCTTGTCAGCTAGTTTGCCTATTGTGAAAATCTTATGCCTGATAGAAAATTTTGACAGTTTAGTTCTATGGTGATTTAAATTGCTAAATATTTTTTCTTCCTCTCAGGTCATCCTTGGGTTCAGATTGATGGAGTGGCTCCTGATAAGCCTCTGGATTCTGCTGTTCTCTCTCGATTGAAACAATTTTCTGCAATGAACAAACTCAAAAAGATGGCTATCAGAGTAAGCTATAAATCATAATCTTCAAAAGTAATGAATGATTGACGAACAAATCTACAGAACAAATTTTTAGTCAACTTTGGAAGTTGCAAACTGTTTATATAATGCTGGCTGTGATCATTAGTTAAATGCAGATGTTGTCATGCATGTCTTTTAATCACAATGGCAAAGAATGTTGACTGTTGCAATTTTGTTTTTTACTTGTTATTTTTCTGTTTCAGATGATTCGTATATATAATTCCCCAAGGCTAGTAGTTTTGGGTTAACCACAAGTTTGCTCAATAATCATGTCCTTTATACAATTTGTTGAGCCATATTTTTCATCTTCAGGCTGCAATCTTTTCTTCTTTAAGCGGTGAGAATGACCACCCATAACCGATGCAGGCTTATATGTTCTGGTGGTTTAGCTATCTGGCTTATGTTAAGAAGGGACCCTCATTGTAGAAGCTTCATCCTTGTCTTTTTATCTTTATATATCTAATAGCTATATTATTCAGTGATATAGTCGAATTTCTCATGTTTTTTCTTTCCTGTTTTGTTTTGGGTGCTACTTGTTTGATAGTTTATTCCTATGTTCTCCTGTAGCTTTCTGTGCAAATGCACTCTTTATCCGGAACTACAATCATTTGTTTTTTGTTTGCCATTATGCTGATTTAAATGTAAAAATATATGTTTTTGTATTATTTGTTTGATTTAAATACTCCCTTACATAGGTTATTGCTGAACATCTTTCTGAAGATGAAATTGCTGGCCTTAAGGAGATGTTTAAGATGATAGATACAGACAACAGTGGACAGATAACCTATGAAGAATTGAAGGCTGGATTGGAAAAGTTTGGTGCTAATCTCAAGGAGTCAGAAATTTATGCTCTTATGCAGGCGGTAGGTATCTTAATTCTGAGAGCTTAGATAATGTGTATCTATTAACTGAAACTTACTTTCAAGAATTTTATTCTTACCGTAATTTAATCTTTGAACTATACAAGGCTGTGCTTTAATAGTGCTAAATGGTGTTCAATTCGTCCAATATGATATATACTAATAATGTTTATTACAGAATGTCCATTAAACCCTACAAATTATAGAAAATATTTAAGCACAGGTGATAAATGCAAAATTTTAGCCCCCCACTAAGAGTTTATGATATGATATCTATGATATTCTTTGAAATCGCAACTGTCACAACACCCAAATAATTTGCATTGTTAATTAGCTTATATGGGGCACTGTAGTAGTTCAGAAACCTTATATCATTCACAATGATCTCCTTTTATTGTGGAGGAAAATCAAATTTTAAAAGGTTGATTTTCCCTGTAAATGTTTACTTTCTTTTCTAAAGAAAATCATTAGTCTATCATGCAAATTATTTGGTGAAAGATTTCATTCAGTGTGAGCATTGTATTGCCTGCCATGTTTGCTTATTCCTCTACTTGGTTGGAAATGGAAAATTTTAGGCAGATGTTGATAACAGCGGAACCATTGATTATGGCGAGTTTATTGCTGCCACTTTGCATCTAAACAAGATAGAGAGAGAGGATCATCTATTTGCGGCTTTCTCATACTTCGACAAAGATGGGAGTGGTTACATAACTCAAGACGAACTGCAGCAGGCTTGTCAGGAGTTTGGCATAGAAGATGTGCGCCTGGAGGATATGATCAGAGACGTGGATCAAGATAATGTAAGTTTTATTTTTCCGACATATGTTTCTAATTTAGTTCTGAAATTACAATAAGAGAAGCAATTTTCTTGTTTCTTGAATCTTTTTCTCCTTTTGGCAGGACGGACGCATAGATTACAATGAATTTGTAGCTATGATGCAAAAAGGGAACACTGGTTTTGGCAAGAAAGGAGTGCATGCAAGTTTCGGTATTGGTTTTAGGGAGGCTTTGAAGATTGGATAATGAGGTAGTCGGTGAGGTTCATATTCTTTTTTTTGTAACTATCATTCATACAGTTATTGTAATAGTTTTGAATTCCATACCGATTTTTTGAGAGCATTGGTGCCCCAAGAATTGCAATGTATGATCAAATTCAAACGACATATTTGAATATATCCAATTTGTTGGAGATTTCCAATTGTAAGAACTCTTAAAGCATGGTTTCTCTTGTTGGATGGTAGTCTCTTGTTGTCACTATAACTGTCCTAAATTGTAACTTGCTATTGGTCATGTTTATTCTCTAGAGCCAATAATTAACTGAAATATTATTTTTATATTTATCTCTTGATCCATAGAAATTTGCCTTCTACAATCTAAATTGCAAGATAACATATTTTCAGTAATCATGATCCATAAATCAACGTCTAATTTTATATCTAAGATTGGATATCCAGATTTCATATTTTATGAAAGGTGTAAACATTACATATGCCTTCAAATAAGTTTTTTTTTTTTGTTAATCTAAATGAACAAGAAAAACTAGAAAACGAATGGATGTACCAAAAAAGTTAAAAGGATAAGAAAGTGGTGATGGGGAGCCTTATCATTCCAAAACTACATTAACCAATGCTTAGTGATGGGGAGTCTCACCAAACCTATTTTGCTTGTAATCAGCACAAATGAGGAATTCATCCTTAATTGTAAACGAAGATACGTTAAATAGTGTTAAGTTATATGGTATTAAGTCATAAATCAAGAAAATTATCATGAATCATATTGATGAAAATTGCCAAGCTTAATTATAATCAAATAGATGAAAATTTATTAGTGATTGAATAAAATAGTCATTTCAAATATGAAGACATAAAACCATAACATGTGTTGTTCCACTGCAAACCGCCTCATGATGTTATGAGAATCAATTTCACCCTTACAAAAAATCGCTATTTCACAGACGATTTGCAATTCAAAAATGCTAAGAAAAACATTATAGATAAATATTTAAATATTCTTAATTTAAATAAGAATATTACTTTGGATTAATAACAAGAAAAGATTCATATGGCTTATCCTAAACAGCTGAGACGTTGAAATTAACATGAACACCATTCTTTGAATCCAACATGTCACAAAATCTCCACATAAAACGGCCTAGCACAAAATAGAAACAATAACAAGCAGCAGTATTTTGTACTCGTGAAGAGAGAGAGAGAGAGAGAAAGAACAATCCTCATTAGGGAACAAACATCAGCAACCAAATCCAGAAATTGAGACAAGCTGCAACTACAAGCACAAGTTTGTGAATAAAAATCCACAGCAACTCCAACCCGAGGCATTTTCTTATCTTATTCACAATCAAATGGTGAACCACCAACAAGGTACAACATTCCACATACATAAATGAGGTGAAGGTAGAGAAATCACACTCAAAAAGTGTAACTGGAACACCTGTTCCAATTTTGCCTTGGATACAAACCAAGAAACTTTTTACAAGATCAATCTCAAGAATCAATAGCACATCTAACTATACAAGACCATGGTTTACTTGTAAACCACATGGACACCCTCAAGCTTGGAAAGCAATTACATAAGGCAATATGAAAACCAAGCAAATCGGAGGAGGGACCAAATGTGATCCCCACAACAAAAAAGCACTTCCAAACACAAAAGTATGATCAACCAACAACACGCTAACATCAATCTTATCTGCTTTCAACAGAAACTAGTGGAACAACATAGCTGGGATCATCCTTGTGTTCTAGTGATACAACTCCAGTTACTAATTCGAGGTGAATTGTCCAGAAGCAGCAGCAACCCGACGTTATTTGATGACCCAAATGTGTACCTAATAAACATTTAATATTATAGCATCCTCATAAGATGATAGACAAAAATGTAAAATAAAATAGAAAAAAAATAACAGAACATACACATACTTAATTCGTGACGCTTTCTTTCTCCAGACAATAAATGACATTATCCACTGAAAAAGGCAAGACAACAAGAACCTTTTAACTTCAAGGCAACGATACTATAGAACAAGGAATTATGACTCTTGAACTATAACAATGGAGCTTTCAAGCAAATATGCAGTATATATCAAGATGTGTGCAAAAATAACTTTCACAAATTACAGTTTTATGTCTTCCACGAACAGTGGGTCTTCAAGATTTGAAGAATCCAATAGAGATCGGCAAAATATTAGAACTTCACCAGATCATGACAATGATATTTGAAAGGTTGAGCAAGCCAACAATAGAGATTGCGTCAAGAAAAAAAGAACAATTAGTAAAGAAGTGAAGTACACAAAACATTAAGTTGAAAGTTCTAGCCTTTCATTTGCACATCTTCAAAGACCTAAGTTATGACCACATGGAGTTGTCATGGATCATGAACTTCTAGCATCCAACTCGCTAAGCTAAAGAATCACTGGAATGTATATCCCAAGGGTAGGGTCCTTTTGTATCACTGAACATGTATCCTCCCATTTGGTAGTGTAGTGTTTGTTTTGTGTTTTCTAACAGAAAAAATGGAATTAAAATTTAGAGACAGGATTTTCAATTACACTGCCAAAACAACAATAGTTTTCATAATTTTGAGTACTTCTACCGGCAGAAATTTTCTAAATGAGATACCATCAGACAATCAAGCACACCTAGGACCTTGTCCCTTTAGACTCTTTGATTGAAACTAACTGGATCTTTGTTTGTCTGTTTGAATTAAAACGAAGAGTTTCTAGCATTCGCCAATTTCAGTCTCAATCTCAGTGGAACTTTAGTACCTTACTAGTTTTTCTAAAAGAGAAGCCAACTGATGAAAGTTATGTAATCTAAGTCCTGGTGGAATTAAAGTAAGCCAGAAAAGGTTCCTCACTGAGTTCATAATGTACTAGAATTGGTAAACATCCCCATATCAACACTCATTTGAGATTGTTCAACTTGTAAAACTAGCTAAAAAGACATCAAATCTAGTCAATTCAGAGAAACTCAAGCAACTATTTTCGCTGGAATAAATATATTCCTTTGGTTTAAAATTTAAAATGTATTTGAAATTCATTATGATGCACAGTACATGTACCTTAGCATGCCATACATCTTAGGAGAGTTATTATTTATCCACAAAAAACCATTTATTAAGAAAATTAATCAAAGAAACTTGCTACATGAAAAACTACTTACTTATACATGGGTGAGATAAAGACAATACCGATTTACCCTGACACGCATAATACTAATTTCAGAATAAAAAAAACAAAGCAAATCTACAGTTCAAAATCGCACCATGTGTTGAAGAAGGATGCACAATAGGGTTTCTCATTTATTTTTTTAATCTATTCTTATACGCACAAATACATACATTTTTTTGGCTCGGACTATGAAAATAAATTCTAACTAAAAGAACTGAAGCCCCATAGACTCTGCTGATAATGTAAACAGAATGAACCTCTTGTTACTACCCTTCACCACTGTTGAGGTTATCACCAGATATAACTTATGGGGTTGGGTCAATGCATTTATTGAATGTAATCAACAGCTAAGCCTTTGTCAAGGGTGGCAGCTTCGTCAAAGGTCAGAGTACTACAATTGGAAGTTAGGCTTTTTTTAGAATCTGATCACACCAAAAACACAGGTCAGATTTCCCCAGAATACATGCTCATCCAATTAAGTTGATTGATCACATATCACTGTTTAAAGTCCTCTAGTAAATTAAGCCAATGCCTGAATTATACTACTCTGGCATCATAAACTGAACTAGGCAATCCATTGTCTCTAACCATTGGAGCTAAAACTATTGATTTAGATGTGCCTTCTTTTTCTCTATTTTCATCAAGGCCAACAAATTTTATTTTGGACCTTAACTCACTAATAATATGACGCATGTTTTTTGTTTTCAAAACCTAAACAAGACAAGAAAAATGGAAGTGAAATAAGTAAAAAAAATGATGTCGAAACAATTTTGTTTGTTCTCTTGCTTTTGATCTATGTAATTTCATCATCATTAAATGTTATCCCATGAAAGCCAAAGGAGCTATTATAAAATTAATCAAGTACTGAGTCGACTATTAAGCACTAAAATTGAAGCTCATCTGAGAACCACTCACAAAATGTCTAAAGAAATCTTCTTCTGACCTATCCATTAAACTTTAAACCTTTTTTTTCCAAGTTCCAATATAAATCTCTTTCATTTGAAAAGACAATTTTCTCCAACATTGACTCAAAAGTTGACACTGAAATCAAATTCTACAAATTTGAAGGAATAGGTCACCAACATAACATTGTTGATTAATACACTACAAACAATGAAGATCAATGGCATCTCCACAAAAAGAAAAACATGTGATGCATCATCATTTTTTCTACTTGATGTATGGTAGTCCTTGTTCTCGTGTTGTCTAACCAATTCAAGAATTAGGCCATGGTCCTTGAAGAGTTGGATGCACAATTCAAATTGAAGTATGAACTCTCCTAAACAATTGATCAGCCATCTGAAAAGGATAAGAAAATCACCATCTCTTTCACAGAAAAAGTGTTGATTTATTACCAAGTAAATTAGTATAAGTACAGAAGAGCAGATTGGACCAGGCATAAACATCAAAGAAATTATTACATGATAGAACTCAAGCTTCACCACTATCTTGGAGCTTGTTGACAAATTGTTGGTCAATGCCATTTGACACCATATACAAACAAGCTAAGTATTAAAGAATTACGGAACAAATTTGTCAGTAACATAAAAATTTGACATATTAATCTACATCATTTTTTTTTTTTTTGACTATGAGGAAGTTACAAATTTTTTTTCTTTTACAAATAAAATTTAAAGATAATGTGTGGTTTTTTTTTCATATTATCCATGATATAACATATTTGCATCTAATAAAATTGTTTAGATTTCATTGTCTTTGCTACATTATTTTTGTAACATGCATAATTTGATCTCACATTTTAAGTGGGAGAAAAATTAAATCAAATTATAAGAGCATGATAGACACTGTTACCTTGGACTTAAGCATCTTGAGTTAGTAATTAAGACTCAATAAATTTAATGAATCGATTATCCTATCAGGCCCGATGATGACAATTCTAATGCTTTAAGTTATCATTATCACCATAAATTTCAAATGTTGGACTAGATATTCAAGAAGATGTAACAACTAATCTTCCAATGTGATAGCAGATGCCTGAGTAATATGTTACAAATCCCCAACAACTAAGATTAATTTGATTGAACAATTTAAAAGAAGAGTACCTTAAGCATGGAAACAATAGAGAAATTTGTAATTGAAGATTTCTTTTTGGTGATTCTCCTCTCAGGAGAGACTTCCTTATGCAGCTGCTGTGCTATATGTCTGAGCAACAACAATTGTGCCTTCTCAGTTTGCATCGACATTATAGCCTGCCTCATCGACTCTCTGTCTGCCTCAAGCGCCTGCAACCTCGTGTACAGATTCGTTATATCTGGACTCCCACCTTCTGCCCCTCCATCTATTTCCCCTCTCTTCCCCTTCTCCATGCCATCCTCAGAGGAATGGACCATTGGAACCCCATGAACTGAATCAATTGTGTACACCCTATCGCTCATGTCATCAGTGTCATCACTGTCGTCCAATGGCCTGTCCATCGAGGCAGGGAATTCTCCCTCTTTCATTGGTTCTTGTGAAGTCATGCCCATAACTGAGTCACAGCTATGGGTGGATGATCGCCTGAAATGGCTCGATGATCCCGGTGGCTCCTGGATGATGCCCTTCTCCAGCATGCTGCTGGTGTCCGGCAATGCCTCAAGCTGACAAATCCGCTGCTCCAAATTCTCGAGGTCCTCTCTGTCATGTGGCGTTTCACCGAACGCATATTTTTCAAGATCAGCAGCCTCATCGAGATAATCCTCTTCGCGTTCGACACCATTGGTTAAGGTGCACTTCAAAGGAGTGTATTCAAAGGTGGGACTCTCGTTGGACTGAGGGGTCTCGGGCTCGTCGTTCACAGAGCCACCAGAGGGGGCAACGTCGACTGCGCCAGGGTCGATACCGTAGCCCAGAAGGCGGTGCCTATAGGCCTGAATCTGGAAGGTGAGAGACTGGACGGCCTCCTCGCGCTTGAAGAGGAGGTCCTCGAGCGCGATCAGCTCCTGCTGGTCGTGGTCCATCTTCTCCTCGGCAAAGCGTTTGAACTGCCGGGCCTCCATTTGCGCTTCGGCCTTCTCGCGCTGGAGACGGAGGATCATCGACATGGCCTCGCTCGCGGCCGAGCAGGCGGCGTTTCGCTCTTCGTCGAGCTCCGCGCAGAGCTCCTGGATTGTCTCCTGTTGGCTGGCCACGGCCTCTCGGAGGGCAGCCACCTCGTCCTCGACCTCCACCCGGGCGGGGCCGTGATCGGCCGCGTCGGGGTCGAGCCGGCGCTTCATGGAGCGTCGCCAGGAGGGGGAGGAAGGTCGGCAGCAGAAGGGGCAGGCGCAGGGGCAGAGGCGGCCGGCAGCAGCCGCGGAGAAAGAGGAGGAGGAGGAGGGGCCAGGTGGGGATAGCGTGTCCAGATCCATGATGGATCGAGAGGAAGCATGAAGACGACAAAGGTGAGATATTTCGATCGATTTCGACGTTGGGATTCGGACCAATTCGATTGAAGACCAGGAGGCGGAGGAGGATTCTGACCAAATTTAGGTTATGCGCAAAAGGGGCAAAAGGTTGCAAGTTGCCGGGAATGCGATATTACAGAAAGCTGACGTGGGCTCTCAACTCTCAAAGGAAGACGCCGACAAGCACAACAAACAACGGTTCCACCTAGAAATAAATATCTTATTATTATTATTGTCAGTTATTTTACATACTTTCTTTTGCTTTTTTTCCTTAATTCTTTTTCACCGTGATCTTACAAAAATAACGTATAACAAGATGTAAAAGCTATTATTATAGAAATCATTATTATTATAGAAAGCTATTTTATTATTATTATTATTATTATATATAAGCCTAAGAAAATTTGTGAGAAAATGGGGTATATCATTATTCATATCCACTCAAAAATTAAAAATATATGCCATACTCATACCAAGCCAAAAGATTAAAAGAGGTGACAAAATCACATACACACACAAAACTACTCCAGTCATAGTATTTTTATATTATGTTATAATGTTTTCAATAATGTCAAAAAATATTATAATATTATAAAAACTATTTTTATATAAATTATGTTTATAGTATTTTTTAAATACTTTATGATGTTTTCAATAATACTAGAAAATTATTATAACATAATATAAAAATACTATAACACAATATTTTTATTTTTTAACAGTAATAGAAAATTATTGTAATGTAGTATAAAAACACTGTAAAATAGTAATTTTGTTACTACATTACAGTATTTTTATATTATTAAAAAAACTATATCCTAGTGTAAAAAATTATAACTGAGCCAATTCACCTTATAAATTGATTGATATAAAAAAGAAAGAAAAAAAATAGATGATTGAGAGTCTTTCAAGTACTAAAAGGGGTTTACGATTTGAAAATAATGGAAATGAGATGCGCTTCTCGAGATTGTGTGTGTAGAAAAACATTTACTGTGATAGGGTACAATTTGGTAACATGCCCTCAGGTAGCTCCATAGCCACATCGACGCCAATGAAAAGCTTCGAAGTCGATGTGGCGAATCACATCAATACAATGTCGCCCCACAAAAGTTGGGATGGTGTTGCTTGGGTACGACGCCGCTCAAGTATGACGGTGGCATCGCTCGGGTACGACACCACCCCACAAAAGTTGGGACGACATCACTCGGGTACAATGCCGCCTTGCAAAGAGTGGAATGGTGCCGCTCGAGTACATCTCCACCCCGCGAAGGCAAGGATAATGCTGCTCGGGTGCGACGCTGCGCAGGACAATAGTAAGAAAGTTCTTTATTCTACTTCGATTAGAAAGAAAGATCGATTGTTATTTTTTACTATACCATAAGATACAAGCAGTACTATATAAAAAGACATAGCTAAAAGTGAGTCTACGATTATCCAAATTATCTCCTAGATTAGCATATTCATAACCATATATTTCAATATTTTAATATGAATGCCCTTCTTATAGAATAATCATAAATCAAAAATTGAATTCACATATTTTAAAATTATCTTTACTGCATTAAGATGTACTTCCTTAGAGATCATATAAAACGACTTACAAAACTAATTAAAAATATAATATTTAATTTTATAATTATTAAATAGATGAGACCAATGTTCATCATATTAAGATGAACCGTTTCCTATGGATGGTATGCATCGATTCGATAAGGAATTGATATGGATAGTATATACTAGTATATCAATACACCTCATTATATCATATGTTAGTATATCTGTACATATCATATCGACGATCGATCGAAACACTAGTATAGACTAATAAGGTGAACCATGTATGAGACTACCAATAAAAAAAAAAGATCGAGAGTCAAAAAAAAAAGATCGAGAGTCAAAAAAAAAAATTATCATCATTATAACTTAGCTTTTATATTTGCATCGTGTGGAGTAGAAATATTTTTACTTTTGTTAATCCCAAACTTTTTAATAATTTTCTTTCTATAGCTTATTTGGGAGATAAATATACTTTCTTGTATATTCATCAACTCTAGACTAAGAAAACTCTAGACAAAGAAAAATATTAAGCTCCCACGAGACTTTTATTTCAAATCGGAGAAAAATATTACTATGAAACTTTAAAATTTCTATTTCATCATTTCCAGTGATTATCATATCATCCACATATACAAGAACAATAACATATAGGCTTCATTATTTTTTAATAAATAAGCTATGATATGAATGAGAAGCAAAATAATTATAAAAATATACGTATTAAGCATTTTTTTCATACCATATTTTTGAAGCTTGCCTTAACTCATTTGGTTTCAAAATAAAAGTTTACTCTAGTGATTGTTCCATATAAATATTATTTTTAATTTCACCATATAGGTAGGCATTATATACATCAAGTTGCTAAAGCTTTCATCTAAAATTAGTTGCTAGAGCAATTATCATCTTAACAGATGTCATCTTGACCATATAGCTAAAAGTTTCCTCATAAACTTTTTTAAAATTAAAAAATATATACTTCCAACAAGTCTTATGATCTATATTTTCATTTGACTTTTGTTTCACCTTGTAGACCCATTTGTAAATAATTATATTTACATTTATAGGCTTTAGCACGAGATACCAAGTTTTATTTTTATGAAGTCTTTATTTCTTTATCTATGATATCCTCTCACTCCTAACATATTTGGCTTCATCAAAATAAGTAGATTTAAGATGATCAATTGTTTAAAAAAAAAAAAAACAATGATATATGCCTCTATTGTCTTCATTTTTGTAACATTTTGGTTTGATAATTATTATTTTTTATCTTCTCAAAGTGGAATTTTTTTTCATGAATATTATTACTCTCTCTATCACTTTTCTCGTGATAAAAAAAAATAAGAATAGATATATATATATATATATATATATATATATGAGAAAAGACACAGCTAAAATTCAAATCCATGAGAGCATTAATGACAAAAGAAACTCAATAATATGTTTTGAATATACGTCACTTTCACTATTATAATTAATATCTTTAAAAGAAACTACTAGTAGAAGATAATAAAAAAACTATATCAAATATAATATCTCGAGATACCACATACCTATATAAATATGGATCTATGCATTTTTAACATTTCTTCCCTTTATCATGGGGAATGAATATACATTTCTTAGCCTTAGCATCAAACTTATCTTTTAGTCTGATATATGAATATAGCATAGAGAATCAAATACTCTAAATTATTTAATATTTTTTTTTTTTTATCAAACATGAGCTTATTGGACTAAGTGAAGTTTGATTAATAACATAAGCTGCACGTACTATATATTCTACTTATAAGATTTTTATTAAATTCTTTTTATGAAGTTAACACTTATAAATCTTTATGAGATATCAAATCTTTCATTTTATTACACACGTTTTGTTGTAGTATATTTGCATGTACGAGTTCTCTTTTGATGTTATGCATTTTACAAAAAGAAAAGAATCTATCAAAAGTGAATTTCTTGTTATTATCGGTGTATAGCCTTTTAGTATTTTATTTTTTCTTTCAATAACACCTTTAATTGTTAACTTGAACTCTAAATTTTTTTTTAAAAAAAATTGCTTGTGTGCTTTGCTGTATCAATAACATTTACAAACTTTATTACTACTAAAAATCCTAAGATTAGGAATATCATTAACTATTTTTTTTGCATTATAATTTTTAATTAAAAAAACTTTATGACAAATTGTAGCATGCCAGTTTAATACATCCTATCAACATAAGAGTTTGATTATAATTTAATTCTTTTATGTTGCGAACAGGCTTCATTATAATAAAAAGAATATAATTTCTAACATCAATTGCATTTACAACAGAAAATTTTTTTTTTTAATGTAATAGGACCATTATCTTTATTTGAGATTGTGACAATGTCTTCCTTCTCCAAATAATATTATCTACCATGATAATTACATTATACTTTCATATTGACGAAGATTATTGAATTCAATACCGTGAGATGATGATCGCATCATGAATCAATTATCTAATAATATTCAAAATTAATGGATATTATAGATTCCACTACACTAGTTTTAGTCATAAAATATTTACCTCAATCTTTATTAATGGAACAATCTTTTTTTATTTATATTTTTTTTAATCATAACACAATAATTTTTTTATATGGTCTAACTTGTCATACCTATAATACTTGATCATCTTTCAATTTATATTATTGTTCGTGGAAGACTTTAACTTGTTATTAATATTATTATTCTTCGCTTTATCTTTATTATTATCATTTTATTTATAAAAAAAAGATATTTTCATCTCTTCCTAAATTAGACTTTTTTTATTTGACAAATTAAGAATTCTTATGAAACAAAAAGATTTTCTAACTGTAAGGATAGATCGCACCAATGTCTTATCTGTTCATAATACTTACTATAGACTATTTATGAGGATATGTATTAATGAATTAGATCTTCTAGCTAAATTCTTTGATGAAACCTATGCAACATACATACATACATACATATATATATATATATGTATATATATACATGTATATATATACATATGTATATATATACATGTATATATATACATGTATATATATACATATGTATATATACATGTATATATATACATGTATATATATACATATATATATATATACATGTATATATATACATATATATATATGTATATACATATATATATATATACATATATATATATATATATATATGTATATATATATATAGGCACACGATTCGCGAGTACCGTAGCGGTCCGTTACGACTCCGATATTGAGGAGTCCCTCCGCCACCGCAAACCTTCCGCTCCCCAACGTTATCCGACGCCCAAACAAG